CCTGGAGGCCTGGAGAGCCGTCGGAAAGGTGTCTCGGGCTGCGCGGGAGCGTGTTGGGCCGTTCTTTACGTTCTGGGGGCTCCTTGGGGTCGCCTTGGGCTGTCCTTGGGCGTCTTGGGGGCCCCCCAGGAGGCCGGGAGGCACGGTACCGGCCAGATGTCAGGGGATGTGTAGGACTCCCGAGTAGGAGTCCACTTTGAAACAAAAAGGGAATTCTGGGGATTCCTTCTTGTTCTTTCAAAACCCTCGATCTTCGAGGGTTGGAAACGGAAAAACATGAGAAGGCGAAAAACATCAGAAAACCATTGGAAATCAACGATTTTACCCTCTTTGGGCTCTCTCGGGACGGCTCTCGCAGCTCTCTTGAGCTGTTCTTGTAGCCTCGTCAGGGAGTTTTTGGGGCCTCTCAGGGATCGGGGGTGTGTTGAGGGCCTCTGGGTGGTCCTTGGGGCCTCTCGGAGGTCTCTGGAAGCCTCCTGCTCCCGCTCTTGGGCCCATCTTGGACCTGTTCTGGGGTGGTCTGGGGCTGTCCTGGGCGCCTCTTCGGCAGTCTTGGAGCCTTCTTGGCCCGTCTTGGGGCCGTCCTGAGGGTCTCCTGGGTGGTCTTGGGGCGGTCTTGGGAGTCTCTTCCGTCGTCTCTGAGCGTTGGAAGCATGAAAAATTGAGAAAAGCAAAAACTTCTGAAACAAACATTAAAATTCAATTATTTTTGTTGCTCTCCGGGCTCTCTCGGGACGTCTCTCGGAGTTATCTTGCAGTGTCTTGGAGGCTTCTGGAGGCCTCCTGGGAGTCTTGAGAGCCGTCCACAGACCGTTTTGGACTGCTTGAGAGCATCTTCGGCTGTTCTTTTGCATTCTGAAAAGTTCTTGAGGCTGTCTTGGGTGGGAGCTCCCGGGGAGGCCCGGGAGCGCGGTACAGGGCGCCTCTTCGGCAATTTTGTGGGTTTCTTGGCCCGTCTTGGACCCGTCCTGGGAATCTTTTGGGCGGTCTTGGGGCGGTCTTGGACCGTAGGAAGCTCGAAAACGTGAGAAGGCCAAACACATAGAAAGAAACAATCAAAATCGACGATATTGACCTCGTCGGGCTTTCACAGGACGCCTCTCGAACCTCTCTTGGGGCCTTCTGGAGGCCTGGAGAGCCGTCGGAAGGGTGTCTCGGGCTGCGCGGGAGCGTGTTGGGCCGTTCTTTACGTTCTAGGGGTTCCTTGGGGTCGTCATGGGCTGTCCTTCGGCATCTTGGGGTCTCCCCCCAGGAAGCCGGGAGGCGCAGTACTGGCTAGAAGTCAGGGGATGTGTCGGACCCCCGAGTAGGAGTCTCACTTTGAAAAAAAGGGAATCCTGGGAATTCCCTCTCTCCCCATCTCATTATATATATATATATATATATATATATATATATATATATATATCGGAAGTCTCTGGAATCCTCCTGCTCCCGCTCTTGGGCCCATCTTGGACCTGTTCTGGGGTGGTCTGGGGCTGTCCTGGGCGCCTCTTCGGCAGTCTTGGAGCCTTCTTGGCCCGTCTTGGGGCCGTCCTGCGGGTCTCTTGGTTCGGCGCCCTTGGACCGTTGGAAGCTCGAAAACGCGAGAAGCCAAAAACATTTAACAAAAACAATGTAAATCTTCGGGCCGTCCCGGGACGCCTCTCGGACCTCTCTTGGGGTCTCTTGGAGGTCACCTGGGAGCCTCGATAGCCGTCGGCAGGCTGACTTGGGCTGCTTGGGAGCGTCTTGGACCATCCTTTCGCATTCTGGGGGCTCGTGGGAGTCGTCTTGGGCCGTCCTGGAGCGCTGTGGAGGCTCCCCAGAACGCCCGGGGGATCGGTACCGGGAGCGTTCCCGAGATGTCACGGGGAGGTGTGGCACCCGGGGCCGGGGGGGCGGTATTATATATATATATATATATATATATATACATATACACATATATGGAGATAGATAGGGTCACAGAGCACAACGCAGCGGGTCTTCCACTCAACCTCCTTATTGCTGTGCGCATGCGCTGGCACGGTGGCGGGGTTTGCTGCTAGCAGCTGTGCATACGCCTAACTGGCGTATGCAAGTGTCCCGCACAAATCTGGGAACAGGGACCAGAACTCGACCACGATCATGCGAGCGGGTGAAACCAATCAAAACGACGAACGCGCCGGTCGCAGCAGACACCCACTGTTCGAATTCAAACAAGGGTCACTGCGGAATCATGGCGCCGACAAGCATGCGAATTCTGTGTGGCTAGGGCTGCGTCGAAAGCGCAAACATCTCACCGCCCCACCTCCCCCTCCGTCTCCCCTCCTAACTCCTCAACCTCGCGCTGCTCGCTGCTCCGGCTCCGAGTTGGTACCCTTAGCGTGGCCAGTAGCACTCAACTACGATCGGGCGGATGCGCACAGGAGCGCGCGTCGAATCGTGGGGGGTGCGTGCGCTCGCCCAACGGAAACCTCAGAATGCGGCCACGTGTAGCTTCGTGGGCGCAGAGCTGACAGAGATTGCTAAGCAACTGGAGGACAACGGAGAAAGGCGTGCGCGTGTGTGTGTATATATATATATATATTATCGTACGCATCTCTCCGAAGGAGTACAGCTCAGAGGCGATTAATGCGTACGCGGGGCGCCGCGTTCGCGATGTTTCTGACCGTTTCGCTAGGGACATCCTCGAAATTCTGAAAATCGGTGGCACCCCTCACGCAGATCGTGACGTCAGGGTCCAAAAACACATGGGAATTTCAACATTCTAACATAAAACCTTCAAAAACACATTGTAATTTCAATGATTTTGACCCCGATTCTCAAAGAACTGCGATTTCGCCTGAGACATCCTCCCAAAATCGAGCCCCGACGTACCTTCTGGTACCCCAGACCCCGCCTCGGAGCCTCTTGGGAGCCTCCTGGAACCTCCTGGGGCCTCCTGGGGCTTTCTCTACCTTCTGGTACCCCAGACCCCGCCTCGGAGCCTTCTGGGAGTCTCCTGGAACCTCCTGGGGCCTCCTGCGGCCTCCTGGAGCCTCTTGGGGCCTCCTGGAACCTCCTGGGGCTTCCTGAGGCCGCCTGGGGCCTCCTGGGGCCTCAGAACTACATGGACACACAGAGACACAAATCACACCCAGCACATCACACGCTAGACAAACATAACACACACAACACCTACAACGCACAGAAAACACGCACAACACAGAGCACACATCACACACACACACACACAACACTCAAAATCCCGGGGCCTCCTGGAGCCTCTTCCGGTATCCAAGTCGGGCCTCCTGAGGTTTCCTGGGGGGCCCTGGTACACACATCGCAAGGTGTGGCAACCCCACTTGCGCTCGAGTGCGACCTCGATCTTAGATTCTTCTGCGTTCACCTCCTGCCTCTTCCCCTTCTGTTAGGCACGCCCTGGCGGCGCCGCCCCAGCTTCCCCTTCTCCATCTCCGATCCTGCAGTCATGGTGTCTTCCTGCTTCAAACGCCCTTTCAGTTTTTTGTATGAGCCTGGGCACACACGTGCCACTTGAGCCCTATGCACACTGGGTCCTCCGATCCCTGTACGCCCGAAGGCCCAACGGCCTCCCATCAGCCCTACGACAGCGACAAGCATTGCCGACCAACGGCCCCAAACGATTCCCAGGCGCCATGCGACCAAGATTGTAAAGGCTGAGCGCAGCGAGCCGGTACAATCTTGTATATCTATATATGTAATTACACATGTATATACACATGTATATATACATACATACATACATACATACATACATACATACATACATACATACATACATACATACATACATACATACATACATACATACATACATACATACATACATATATATATATATATACAGATGCGGAGACGGAACAGAGCGGGCCGCTGACGGCTTGGATTCGACACTACCCGCTGGCGGCCAGGCCGAAACTCCCCGCGGCGCCGGAGGCACTGTCTAGAGATGTGGGGACGGGGGCCCCCACTGGCCTGTGCACTCGGCTCTGGGGCCCTGCAGACGGACGAGAAACCTGCGGCCGAGGGAATCGTGACCGAGCGGTACGCGGAGTGCCCATTTCTCGGGAATCTCGCGCCGCGGGATCTGTGGGCTGGCGGGCCGCAAAGGGAGGAGAAGAAGGGGGTCCTAGCGCCAGTCAAGGGAATCTGCGCAGACCTACGAAAGTTTAGTCTCCTGCCGGTGTTCATCATCTAGGGAGGTGGTTAGCGGACACGGCTCTCTCTATCTGAAGGAGGACGAGCTTTTAAATTGAGTTCCCTAACTCGCTGGCTGTTGGCGCTGAGGCGGCCGAGAGCACGCGCCACCGCCTCGGCTGTGCACCAACGGCAGACGCGGTGCCCGCGGCACAAAGCGCGAAGTCACTGCTCAGCCCCCGAACACGACGTAAGTAACTGCCGAGCCCTTCCCCCTCCCCGCCTCCGCGGCCACACGAGCGCTCCCCGAGTCCGAAAGCACCCTCGTGGAGACTCGGAGCACTGCGGCCCGGCAGCGACCTCGAGAGCGTCAGGCCGAAAAAAGGCGCAGTCTAGAACACGAAATCCTGGCACCCTGGCGCGGCGAGCGCGCCAGGGGCGGCGCCGCCATGGGGGGTCCTCCTCTTCGACAGTCATCACAAGCTCGAGAGATACTGCACCACAAACAGGTGATTTTTCTTCCGCCTCGACGTGGTCGTGGTCGCGGTCGTCGTCTTCATGGTCGTCGCCCAGTTCTGAAATGTGGAGTCCCCTTCCCATCGGCTGGGAAGCTGGCAATTGTCATCGCCCTCTCTCCTGCGGGAGATGCTTGCTTCCAACTAGTAGTTCTGACGTGTGCGCACCTATCTCTTGCGGCGCACAAAAAGAAAAAAACAGCTCCTAGTAAGCCGAGCGATGATGACAGCATGCCCTGGCCCAGCGACAGCAGTCGTCAGCGTACTGCTATGCCCATCTCACGTCCTCCCCTCCTCCTCCTCCTCCTCCTCCTCCTCCTCCTCCTCCTCCTCCTCCTCCTCCTCCTCCTCCTTCTCATCCTCCTCCTCCTCTCAAGCCCGTGACACGTCGCCAGCAGTCGCAAGCCGAAATACCACTGTACCATCACAGCAAAACTGACCCGAGGCTGGGGGCGCGAGTGATGCGTTGCGGGGGAAGAAGGAGGAAGAGGTGAGGGGGAGGGGGCTGGTTGAAAGAGCATCGGACCAGCTGGCATCTCAGAAAGCTGGATCAACTGATTTGCTGAAGGTGAACTGTGTTGCATGTCTGCCTCCAGCGAGACGGCGCTGCCGCCAAGGCCGCGTGGCCGCAGCACGCGGCGGGCGCAATTGCGACCGCATCTGGAGCCCGATGGCGAACCCGCCGAAGCCCCGCCGCGCTCAGCCGGGCGCTCGCTCCCCAAAACAACAGGAGAGCGGGCGGTGATCTGGGGCCCACGGGGCCCCGCGAGGCGCGGGGCGCCGGCCGGTCTGCCGCTGCCCGTCGGCGGCCCTGCTTAGGCGGGGCCGGGCCGCGAGACAAAGGCGTGGGCCCTCGCCCTTCGAGAGGTCGGCCGCGCCGCGGGCCGCATGGCCAGCAGGGAGCGGACCAGGTCCATCCCAGCATCACCGAGCTCTGGGCGCTTGTCCCTGATCGCCTGGAGGTTCGTGGGCGGCCAGCTCGGGTAGCTGGAGCTCCAGAACGGCAAGCTGGTCTCGAAGCCCGGCCAGGTGGCCTCCGTGGGGGAGCCCAGTAACTGCATGATCTTCAAGATTGTGCCGATCTCGGAGTCCCCAGGGAAGATCGGGTAGCCAGTGGCTGTCTCAGCGATGATGCACCCCGCAGACCAAATGTCCACTTCTGGGCCGTAGCTGGGATGCCCAAGCAGCAGCTCTGGGCCGCGGTACCACAGGGTGATGACCTCCTTGGTGTAGCTCTTGACAGGGAGCGAGAAGATACGGGCCAGGCCGACGTCGCAGATCTTAAGGCCGTCCACAGGATGGATGAGGAGGTTCTGTGGTTTGAGGTCGCGATGAATGATCATGCGCGCGTGGCATGCGTGGATTCCGTTGAGAAGATCTTGTGAATACCGCAGGACCTCCTCCATGAGTAGCTGGGTACCCTCCCTCCGGTGACCTTTCAGGATCCGATGCAGGTCGTCCGGAACGTACTCGAATATCAGCTGGTACTCGGTGGGACCATTGACCTGCAGGTCCTTCAACTCCACGATGTTGGGGTGAACGAAATCGCGCAGCAACGACACCTCACGGATGACGTGCGCGGGCACGCCGTCGCCCTGGTCGTCGTCGATCGTCAGGCTCTTGATCGCCACCCTGCTGTCCGTCTCGCGGTCCCGGGCCACGAAGACCGTCCCGTAGACTCCGGTGCCGATGACGTGCATGACCTCGTACCTATGGAGCTCCGCGACGCCCGCCCCGTCCGGCTCCTCCGCGTCGGGCTCCGGCGTCGCCTCGGGGCTCCCGGCGCGGGTGCTGCACGCGTCCAGGGCGCGGCTGCCGCCCGCGCCCGCGAAGGCCTTGCCGGCGAGGCCCTCCGGCTGCGGGGCCAGGCCGCTCGCGGCCGCTCCGAGCGGCCCGTGGGCCTCCTCGGCGCACGCCGCGCCCCGCCAGCACGCCATGTGCGCTGGGCGGCGAGGGGTGCCCGAGCGCGGGGCCTGCGCGGAGCGGCCCTGGAGCAGTCGCGCTGCCGGCACGGGCCGGCGTGCACGGGCCACCCCTCGGGCTCATAGGTCTCTTGAGCCAAAGGGGCGGCGGACAACGCCACGTCCACAGATTCCTATGGGTCTGCCCCTCCACATGGGCCCGCCCCTCCACATGCCCGCGCGCTGTGAGTAGCAAGGCGTGGCTCTAACTTCGTTCCCCCCATCTTCTCGAGCAGCGACATTACCTCTGGCCATCCCCCGCCCTTCTGGCACGCGATGACACAAACAGCGCACGTAGCTGATTCCCACCCTTCTCTCACGCGCCGAGGCTGGCGGTGTTGCTAATCACCTCCGTCTCCAACAACACTTCCGCTATGTCCCTGTCAAGCAACAGCGCTTCCAACCATCACCCACCCATCTTGCACATTATGATGCCGCCATTGTGGCTAATTGTCGCCCCGCCTGCTCCTCTGACGATGACCACGAAGGCAACGTAGAGGACGAGGAGAACGAGGACGAAAACGAGAACCAGGAGGACGACGACGACAAGAAGCAGGGAATGGAGCACTCTCGGAAAGGGCTCCGACAAACAACCATACTGACAGCGGCCGAAGACGACGAGGACGACAACGAAGACGACGACGGAGAAGGAGTGAATGGAAAACTCTCGGAACGGGCTCCGACACAAACAAAACAATACTGACTGCAGCCGCAGACGACGAGGACGGCGAGGACGGCGAGGACGACGACGACGAAAGCGAGGATGCCGTCCAGGACGCGGACGGCGAGGAGAACAACGAGGGGCACGTGGAGGACGGGGAGCACGAGAACAACGAGGACGAGGATGACGAGGAGGAGGACGAGGAGCACAGCGCGGACGGCACAGACGACGACGAGGACCTGCCCCAGCGCCGCCGCGTGCACGGGCGCGCCGCCCAGCGCAACGCCGCCCAGCGCGGCAAGCACGAGGATGCTTCTGCGCGCGGGGGGGCTGGGGAGCACCCCTCCTGGCACGACGAGAGAGAGAGAGAGGGAGAGGGAGAAAGGGAGAGAGAGAGAGGAGAGAGAAAGAGAGAGAGAGGGAGGGAGAGAGAGAGATAGAGGGAGAGGGATAGAGGGAGAGAGAGAGAGAGGGAGAGGGAGGGAGGGAGAGAGGGAGAGAGAGAGAGGATGAGGAGGAAAAGGAGGAGGACGAGAAGGAGAAGGAAGAGGAGAAGGAGGCGGAGGAGGAGGAAAAGGCGGAGGAGGAGGAGGAGGAGGAGCACCATTCCGACCGAAAGGGCCAACATCTTCACATGCAAACAGAAAACTGAAACCTCCTTCCTTCTCCTCATCCTTCATTCTTTTTCCTTGTAAATAAGTTCTCCCTGTCACACCCCGAAGCCAGTCTTTAGGGCGGGCCGGAGTTTCAGCTGAGACTTCCTCACCATCTATGACTCCGAAGCTTAAAACATGACAAGAGTGTCACAACTGGAGGGCGGGCCGTTTTCAAAATGTGGCTCTCGCATTAGCGCCGCGCACATTCACTTTAAAAACTTGGAAGAGCTTCACGGAGTGAGGGCGGGTCGTTTTCAACATGTGGCTCTCGCCTTAGCGCCTCGCACATTTTTTTTAACATTGCAAGAGCTCCGCGGACTGAGGGCGGGTCGTTTGTAAAAAGGGCTCTCACCTTAGCGCCGCGCACATTCGTTAACGTGTACAAGGGTTTCACGGATTGAGGGCGGCTTCTTTTCAAAATGTGGCTCTCGCCTTAGCGCCGCGCGCATTCGCTTTTAACATACGCAAGAGTTTCACGAATTTCCATGATCAGCGTACCAGAAATAGTATTTGGGAAGGATTCCGGATTACGCGGGTGCTACAGTGATGTTGACTCGCGGTGTTGAAGTCTCAAAAACGGCGTTCTGAAACGACTACAGATCGTCCGCACGCAGCAGTAAGGTTGATCCGTGGCGTAGAAATCCCGAGAACAATGTGTGGCCCGAGAACAATGTTTTGGCATGCTTAAAGGTCTTAAAACGTTTGTCTTCCAATGAGGAAGTTCCCTTGATAGAAACTAGCCGTTGTGGGGGCCTAGGAGCAGGGAGCTTGGAGGGAGGGTGAATTCCAACATCGTTGATGACCCTTGGACTTGCACTGGTCCTCCTCCCCCTTCTCCTGCTCCTCCTCCTGCTCCTCCTCCTCCTCCTCCTCCCCGTCGAACCCGTCAGCGAACTCAGCCCGCTTCCGCGTCTACAACGACCCGCTGACCGGCGAGAAGCACAACCTCGGCGTGAGAGGGGAAGCCACAAAGGGCCGGGCCTCGGGCCAGGTCGGACCGACCTTGGGACGAGGGGAGAGGTGGGGGCCCAGAGGAGACAACTCCAGCAGGCCGCGAAGAACTCCCGATTGGGGCCCGACGAGGAGGCCGCCGAGCCGACTCGCCCGTCGCGTCGGGGAAGATGTCTGCCTCGCGGGATCCGAATCAACTGGCGCTCACGACCGCCCGAACGGGACCCAAGGCAATCTGACGCGAGAGCGCTCCGACCCCACGACTGACCGGAGTGGCCGACGGACCCACACGTGGTACAGAAGACCACACTCTCGCCAGTGGCCCTTTCGGGAACTTCGATGGGGGGCCTCTAGGCAGGAGTGGCCGCGGGCGTGCCAAGGCCCGAGGCCAGCCCGGGCGTCCCTCCTCCCCGAGGTCAGCCGAGCCGCCAGCCGCCGAGGGGCTGCAGCCCGACGGGGGAGGGCAGCTCGGGCCGTCGGTACCTTCCCCCGCAGGGGGGAACTCCCCCAAGCCAACATGCTTCAGCCAGGAGAGGGGGACATGGTCGAAATACCCGTCGCTAGCAACAAAGGCCGCTTGAAGACGGGCGGAGTAGGAGGAGGAGGAGGAGGAGGAGGAGGAGCAGAGGAGGAGGAGGAGGAGGAGGAGGAGGAGGAAGAGCACGACGACGACGAAAAAGAAACATAGTTTATACTTAAATGTGTATATATATACATGTTGACGGCAACACCACTTCGCTCTCCCTCCGGGACTTCGCCTCCGGCTCCTGTCCAAGGCGTACCTTTTCCTGTGCAAGCTCTTCGGCACCGCCTGCACCCCGCACCCTCCGGCCGCCTGAGGCCCCGCCCGCCCGCGCCCAGTCTCCCCAATGAGTGCTTTGCGCGCCCCGCCTAGCTCTTAATCGGAAGAGGCCCGCTCTCGACCCGCAGACCAAAAAAGTGTGTGTATCTTTCTATATATATACACACACCTAAATGTATATACAAATCCCTGCGGGTAGACGCACCACAATTCCTGTTCCACGGTCAGTATCCAGTTGCGCGGGGGCACACGCCAGCCATGCAAGATGAGAGAGGAGGAGGCAGCAGCAGGAAGTAGCAGCAAAAGGGCACTGGCCGCTGATCCACAGGCGGCAGATCCCCTGCATGCAGGCGAGGTACATCACGCGCGGGGGCATGGCCACTGGCCCGCCCGCCAACGGAAGTGACAGGAGGCCACGACCGAGGGCGAGGGTGTGCACGGGACACAGGGGGAGGACAGAGTCATGCCCCGCAAGGAGCAAGGAGGAGGAGGAGGAGGAGGAGGAGGAGGAGGAGGAGGAAGAGGAGGAGCAGGGGGACATATCGAATGAAACATTTCAGCAGGTTGCCCTCGGAAGTGCACTCCTGAGGGCAGCCATCCTGCTGGGCTACGCCGCGGCCTTGCGCGGCGCGGCGTTCCCCATAAAGCATCCCGAAAGGACGGTCCCGCCTCACCTCCCCTCCCCCTGGGACTTAGATGAGGTCAGCACTTTACAGAGCTTGAAGGGAGGACCGCCTTTTCCAAAGTTGACTATCTTATTGTTGATCAGTGTGATTTCCAGGCCACAGGACAAACACTCACGTGCAATTTAACGGTGAATACCCCCAGAGTTCGTGAATCCCTGGACCTGATGCCGAACCGTGGCAGGTTTAGCAATGGAAATTCCCACCCTCCCTCCCCGGCCTCTCCTCCCGAGGTGGCTTCAGAACCGGCGCCGCGCCAAGCAGTGCCCTCAAAAGCTTTGCGGCCTGCTGGCAGCTACCGTGCTTGAACAGTGTACGGCCCTCCCCCCCTCCTGAGCTTGTGTTTTTTTCCCCACATCCTAAGTGGGGTTCTTGTTTTCTCTGCACACCCTCCGCGCAGGATCTCTCGTCCTCCTCCCCTCCTCTGCTCCTCTTTGCTTCCGCCTCCGCATCATCATCACCATCACCATCACTCCCCACTCATCATCATCATCACCATCAGCATCACCATCACCATCGCACGATCACTCACCATCATCGGCATCGAACGATCATCATCATCATCATCATCATCATCATCATCATCATCATCAGCATCATCATCATCATCATCATCATCATCATCATCATCATCATCATCATCATCATCATCATCATCATCATCATCATCATCATCATAATCATCACTACTCGCTGACTCACCACTTCGTCCCCATCATCATCACCACCATTTACCATCAGAACCGCACGATCACTCACCATCAGCATTCATCATCACCACCATCATCATCACGTCGTCACCATCACCACCACCACCACCATCATCATCATCATCATCATCATCATCATCATCATCATCATCATCATCATCATCATCATCATCATCATCATCATCATCATCATCATCATCATCATCATCATCATCATCATCATCATCAATCATATATCATCATCAAACACCGTCGTCATCATCCCATCACCATCATCCACCAAGAGGGAGCCTCGTCTGTGAGTGAATTGTGAGGAAGTCTCAGGCGGGAGCCCCCTCCCTATGGGGCCCGCAGATCATGTTACTAATCCGAGCGGGTCATCGGATTCCTGTAACTGTCGTCACTTTTGGGCTCCTCAGGTCTGAATTTGGAGGAAGTATCAAGCGGGAGCCTCGTCTGTGAGTGAATTGCGAGGAAGTCTCAGGCGGGAGCCCCCTCCCTATGGGGCCCGCAGATCATGTTACTAATCCGAGCGGGTCATCGGATTCCTGTAACTGTCGTCACTTTTGGGCTCCTCAGGTTTGAATTTGGAAGAAGTATCCGCGGGAGCCTCGTTGTGAGTGAATTGCGAGCAAGTCT